GTAGATACAGGACAAGCAAAACTCCTAAATCAGCAATATCTTGGAAAAAGTGTAACCCACCTATTAGCTACTACATAGATCTATCTTTTTTTTATTAATATTATCATTTCTGAAGGTGATATATTCAAGTAACTTTCCATAACATATTTACAACTTTTCACAAAGATCATTTATTTTGGCTTTAAACTTGAGAGTAATATATAGTGTTTTTTCTAACTCCTCATAGTTCATGCATTTTTTTTTAAAGTTGAATTATCAGAATTTGAATTAAAGTCAGCAGGAGTACACCACTTTTTTGAATGGTATATTGTTATCCTCACTATTATCTATCTTCTGGGAAATTTGATCAGATATTAATGGTTTATTATTCTAAGATGCAGTAACACAATTTACTTTGAGCTTATTCTTGACTTTGTGTATAGTAACTGGAATAATAAAATCTTCTTCATTATAATGAATCTTCATTTTATCATTACCCAATCTACAACATATTTATATTTTTTTAGAAATGGATTTGGGAATATTAATGTCAGTTTAGGGGACATACAACTACAAAATCTTCATGTATAGTAAAACCTGGAAAAATTATTATTGATAAATTATGAGTAATACCAACAGATTCAGTTAGAATGATAGCAACACCACTTAGATCATATTTTTCTGACATATCTATTTTTCCACCTATATGTTAAATAATATCTTCTGATACAATTACAGATTCAGTACCACTATCTAGTACCAATGCTGGAATTTTTAAGCATTTGATTTTAACTAGTATAGTTGCAATACTAATTACTGGTTCTTTCTGATGGATAAAATCTATCTCCATAGGATTGTCTAGTGTTTCATTCTCTCTATCCGAATTTGATATTTCTGGAGCCAGTTCTCGATAATTTATAAAGTCAGGTTTTGCAGATCCTTTAGAAGCAACTCTTTGAGTTATAGATATATTCATATTATTAATATTGTTTTTAATTGTTTCTATAACCTCTGAATCATTAAATATGGCTAGAATAATTCTTCAAATTTGTGAGTCAATAAATGTACCTAATTTCTTTTGTGGAATACGTTGAATTGAAGATTTGAGACTCTGTCTCTTCTTTGGACTAAACTTCTTTTTTGAGAATAATTTAGATGCATAAGCATCCTTCATGGGCCAGATTTCTTTACTTTTTTTTTACCTTGCTAATATTAATATTCATATTTTCAACTTCAGATGAAGACCTCCAGACTCAGATTCATTATCAGAAGAATTGGAACCAAAATTATTATCAGAAGAGTCAGTATCTGAACCTGGCTCAGAGCTTGAATCTACAGTAACCTTATTAACGGTACCTATCTTTTTGCATCTATTCTTAGACTTTCACTTTTTATATTTACAATTACAAGAATTATGACCTGTCCTGTCACAGTTTGAGCATCTGCACTGGGATGATTTCTTAAGTTCCTTCTTGACCTGTCTAGATATGGCTTTATTTATTGATAACTCACTCATATGTTAAAAAGCTCTTCATCTGAATCAACTTTGGTATTTTTTGACACATTCTCTCCATTATTTTTGGGTAAGAAGGAAGAAGCTTTATCAACTACTTCTTTAGTAATTGTATCTATTAATGATTGTAAAGAGAACGGATCCACTAAAGTGTTAAGATGATCTGTCACTTCATCTATTTGAAGCTATTCTGTGTTATTCAAGTGTAAATTTGGATCTCTATAAATTTTACCTGGCTTCATTTGACTAGGTCATATCAACTGCTTATTTTGCAATTAAGGAGCCATCTGAAAAGAAACAGGTTGAGATTGTGAAGATGTCACAATGCCTTTCATTAGATTTTCAACTTCATCTTTGGTTGTACCTGTATTGCTACTTTTTTTATAGGTATTAGGCACTTGACCTTTAAAAGGTGGGAATGGAAAATTGTCTTGTAGTGGTGAAAATTTTTCTACTTCAACTAATGTTTTTATAATATTATCTCTAGTATCATGGTATTTAGCCATTATTCGAACATTGTATTGATTCATAAAATTTAATCCCCGAATATATTGCTCTTTCATTTTTGATTCTGGTAATCCAGCAAGTTTTCCAAGTTTTGATATCTTGACATTATACTTGAGTATGGACATACCTCCTTGCACAATCAGACCAAAGAAAAGCAAATTTTTTTATGCTTTAACTATGGAATAAAGATATTTAAGGTAGTATAAAAATTGCTCAAGAGTTATTTCGGGTGCAACAATTGAATTACCTGTACCAGCATTTGTATAATTGGCTGGAGATGGAATTCCTATAGGTGCGGGATGCTTTCAGCTATACTTCAATCTTTATCCTATATACCCACTGGAATAATATTAGCACTAGTTATTGTATTATCACCTCCAGTATTATTTTTTACAACTAATGTTTTTTCAAGAAACTAATTAGTATTAATACCTGTTAAGCCTCTATTATTTAATAATTGAATTGTATTTAAGGTATTCATGCCAGTATTATCAAGAATATTATCACATTGTCAATTTCTACTTTTGATCTTGTTCTCATACCAGGTTTTTGCTTCATCAACCATACATGATATGGCTAAATTATATACTTCTGCTCTACCAGCTACTCCTCCTGCACCAGCTATAATATTTATTCGAGATGCAATTACAAATCTCTTGAATTCTAAAATCCAATCTAATAGATCTTCTCCAGCTTTTCCAGTAAAAAGAGGTGATCTATTTCCTATTATATTCAATATTTGTATTTGAGGTGAATTTATAGATGGATTATTCTATAGTAATAAAATTTGGGCTTGTAAATTTAAAATTAATTGCTGTAAATTGCACTCTCTATTTTTCCACTTGATATGACTTGCTTTATGATCCTTGAATTTATTATAATATCTATCAAAGAGCCGATCTCGATCATATTTTAATAATCCTTTATTGACCTGACATCTTCGCAATTTTTGTTCTAATTGATAGTTTTTTAATCTATACAGAACTTCAAAAACATGCCTAAGTTTAGATGTTCTTTTAATGCCAAGATAATATTATATCATAAATACCATACCTTTGTTGTAAATCCCTATTATTGGTATAACATTGCTGTAATAATAATTGGATAGTGAACTTTTCTTGAATTAATTCACCAACACATCTATTTTTATCATGATATAAAAATCACCAGTGACGACATTCTTCCTGTTCATTATTATAAGCTGTAGTTATAAAAGTAAGATCATTCTGATAATTGTCATGCTCTTAAGTAAGTCGATTAACTTGATTTCGTAAGTTATATTGCTCTTGAATAATTTGATTAACTTGATTTTATAAGTTATCTTGTTCTTGAGTAATCTGATTAACTTGGTTCTGAAAATTATTTTGGGTAAGCTAATTAACTTAATTTGTAAAACAATATTCTGTTGTTTATAGAAATTGACATCCTGTTATAAATGGACTATTTGATTATCTCTGTCATCTCGTTAAGTGATAACACCATCTATATCCTAAAACACATTTTGGTAATTAAGACGGACATACTTCAAGGAATCTCTAATACTATTTATAATATTTATAGGATTATTTAATAGTGTTCCAACACCTCGAATATGATTTTCAATATAATTCAAACCTTTATCAATTTATATAAAAAAAATTAAGATTTGCTATATCTGTATTTTTCTTTTTATTATATAAATTTAAAGAGTTTCTTTAGAAAAAAATAACTTTAAATCTATATTTTAGATTTTGAATCCACTCTTCTGATTTTTGTAATTGTTTCTCTATATTATCGATATAAGATATCTTGTTTTTTTTTTTTTTTTTTTATACCCATAGTCAGGTCAGCATAGTGCATTTATTAATTATAAATAACAAAATCACGTATGATACATTGAGCAAATATATCTTGGATAAACTAAATCTTATGCTGACTCACTCATTGCTTTCAAATCTCAAATGAGCTTCAAGCCTCTAAGTGTAACCTTGGGGACAATATTTCACTCCGGAATTCGTTTTGGATAAAGACACTCCTAACTTTTCCATCATTGCCAGCAGATTGCCACTGCTGATTATCTTCCAAGAAACTGATTTCCAGAAACTACAATAAGAAAAAGAGAAAATAAAAGGAAGGGAATATCTAAAAATGCACAAATGTGCGTATATGAAAAGAAAATGAAAAAAAAAATAAAAATGCTCCATGTCCTCCAAAGGACCTTTACTAGAAGACCTCCTCTCATTAGGAAATAACCCTTCTGGAATATTCTTCTTCTTTCTAACCGTCTGAGGAACTTATCCATTCATGACCTTGATTATTTTCTTGTGATCGTCTGAGGTACTTATCATCTATTCAGATCCAGCTTCTTGTTTATCGCTTCCTTTCTTTCGGTATTGATTTTTTATCCACCCACATAGACCTTAATGACTTATAGTGGACCTCAGGTTTTTATGTAACCTTTCAGTCATATTTTGTAACTACCGATATCTTTTAGCAGCCATGCTTAGTTAAAGGAATTTTACTGGTATATATCTTCCATTGCTCAAAATAGTCATTCCCCAAAGATCTTTTTGCTTCACAATAGTGAGAGGGTACCAGAAGAGTAGTTAAGATCCTCGTCGATTACGATATCATTATACAATGTCTGGGAAAATGCATTCTCAATCCTAGAGAAGGGTAGTGGCTCACAGTCTTCTGCTTTTCAGTCTTATCGCCTAACCGGGATAAGGAAATAACCTTCTTCGCATACTTTGCCTGACCAGGATGATGGGAAGTTGAAAACCTCGACTTGAACAAATAACTACCTTTTTACCACCTAGGGAATTTAGTATCCATCCTAATGGTCTCATAGTCTTTTAGTTTCAGTATATTTTATTTGAAGAAGTGGAGGATTGCACACCAATTCATTTTCTTTTGTTTTATCAATGATGTCATTGGAACACGTGAATATGACTTATGGAACCTTGTTTACATCTTGCTACCAACGTGTTTCGTGTTAGCCAATCAAAAGCCAGATGACGTTGTGCTACCAAAAATTCAGGGTCAAGTGGAGTAGGCAAAATTCCCCCAAAAACTGTGAAAAAATAGTAGACACTCTAAGAGGGCAAGAGATAGTATGTGAGAAGGTGGATAATAAGCCTTCTCCTGCCTAGAAAACCTCTATTTCCATGTCATATTCAGCTTTAAAAGAAGACAATCCATAAGTTGGTCCTTTTACTTCCTAGAATCTTCTTGTCTTTAGTAAAGGAAGTACATACTTGAGTCTATTCATGTCACCAGAGGCTCAAGTTTTTAGTCAAAGGAGTTTATAAACAAGTAAGGGAGGATAATAGTGACTTGTGAAGACAAGCTTCAAGTTGTTTTAAGGAAAGTGGAAGGACTTTATTAGTCAAAAAGAATAAAATCTTCTTGCAACTATTTTTTTTGTGTGTGGTCAGAGGATCAGCAGAAAGAGTTTTCTTGATATAAGATATCTTGTCTCGAATCTCCTTTTTAACTTGATATAAGCTTTTTTTGAGGAATGATATTCTCAATCTCAACTCTGTCTTTTCTTTCTCCAAAGCATTCTCAAGTTGTTCCAGTTCTTTATTGAGAAATTGAATTTCATTTTCATACCAAATATATTTACATTCCAGATTCTTTATATATTTCTCATTTAATTTGTTTATGGCTACCTTTGATTGCAATATCTTTTGAAGTTCTTGATTAATTTGTTCTAGCTCAAGTTCTTTATCTGTAGCTGATCTATGAGTTGTTTGATTGGGGGGTCAGAGTTTACGGAATGCCATGATTATTATGAAATAATGAGACTCTGTCTTTATTTTTTATAGCATATTATATTGACTTATTTCTTAATTTTCTGAAACATAATTTAGTGCTATAGTAAAATATATCTAAAATGAGTAAATTGAGCAAGCCTATTATTAGAATTGATCCAAATGAGGAGTTAAACTTAATTTGTAAATTGTTTTTTTACTGACCTACAGATTATCATTCTACTGATCAAAAATTATATAAAGATCTCAAGAAAAAAGGATATCGATTTCCATTTAAAAAAGTTTGTGAATGGTTGCATAACCAGAATGAATAGCAAAAGTATACTTTATCACCGAAAAATACTCCACAAGTAAGTTATGGAAAAATTAAAAAACCAAATTGTGTATACCAGTATGACATTCTTTTCCTTATACATGATAAATATAAAGGAAAAACATGGAAAGCAGTATTATAAATTATAGACGTGTATAGCAGATTCAAAGCGAGTGTTCCTTTTACATTAAAGAAAAGTTCTGAAGTTGCTAAGGCCTTTAAGAAAATTTATGATGATTCCAATAACCCTCTTATATACCCAACACTTCTATAATGTAATGGCAGTAAAGAATTTATGGACGAAACTGCTCGATTAATGGAGGTACATAATGTCATGATTTGAGTAATTAGTATATATAGTCAACATGGATTAGCTCTTATAGAATGATTCAATAAGACATTAGCAGAAATGCTTTATAAAATCCAGTATGCTGTTGAATCAATATCTAAAAACCCTAAATTAATGAGAGAGTAGGTTAAGTATTTGCCAGAAGTTGTCGATTACCTAAATTATTATCCAACACACCTCATTCAAACTCTGAATTCTACAAAGTGGGACTTAGCTTCCAAACTAGCCATTCAATTAGAATGAGTTGAATCTAGGTCATCCATAAAGTATAAGCATCCTATTAGAAAGGACGAGGAAAATAAGTTAAAAAGGGGAATAGTGTTCATTATCTACTTGCTAATACAGAGTGGAAAGGAAGTATAGAAAATCAGAAAAGGGCTATAGACCCAATATTTTTACCTTCTTTACATAAAATCTGAAAAATTATTATAACGAAGAATGAACTAGTTTTATATTATCTTGAAGATGACAATAATGAATATGTTTCAAAGCATGGATTTGTGAGAGAAGAGCTTATGCATGTAAATATAGATACACTTCAGTATCCATCCCAGAGTATATTGGAAGAAAATACTTGTTTCAGGTCTATTAATTTCATCTGTATTATTAATAAAATGATTTCGGCACAAGCTTATATTAAGAAATGTGGTGGGAAGTGTCTTGATAAAACTAATCAAATAAATGGTTATAATGTATATCTCTGGACATATGGATCCCATCAATGGTATGCATCTTATAAAATTCAGAAGTGGAAATTTGAATGGTGTCCACTTTGCTTCTATCACACCAATGAGTGAAGATGTCGATATATTTTTGAGGATCTGCTAGGTAAGAAATTCCCATCTTGTAAACCATCATTTTTGAATGTGATGCAATTAGATAAATATAATGAAAAGCTAAAATTAGTATTCGAATTCCAGGGGCCTCAACATTTTTCTAAGAATTCAATGTTTCATAAGTGAGGCAAGATTGACTTAGATAGTTAACAGATGTGTGACCAAAAAAAGCGAGATGTATGTAAAAGAGAGAATATAGATCTTATTGAAATACCGTATACATGTAACTTATTCCCCTATATCAAAAGTGAATTGCTTAAAAAAGAATATTTAAAAAATATAGGCTTTAATGAACACGATAATTGATACCATCTAATTAGCTAATAATATCATACTCTGAATCCAATTGTGATAGGATATTTGGATACCTTACTATTGGTGCCAATTAAATATCTTTGAATTTATATTGAAGATTTGTTATGATTTTATTAGTAATGTCATGAGAGATATTCAACAAACTTTTTCATATTCTTTCCGAATTATCACCCGATATGTATTAATCAACCACCTTTACCATTATATCCAGTACAGAGCAAGAAATGAAAATCATCTAACACAATATTGGTTGCCATTCTTTGATCTGCAATAATTTTTCAATATAATAGATTAGTTTATTCGGAATGAAAGATAAAGTCATGCCCATATATGTATATAACATCAATGAGACATCTAAAAAATTGTCAGAAAGAATGAAGGGTAATAGGTATTCATCAGACTGCCCATTTAGGATGCTCATAAATGGAAGCTCAAATAGTGGAAAAACTAATATGGGAATAAATCTCATGTTAGGTAAGAAACTCAAATGTATGTTCAATGGGAAAAAAGGCGATCGGTATATCAGAAATGATGATCTGGTATTAGTAGCGAAGCATTCTGAACCGAAATGGGAGTTAGTAAAAAATGCATATCAGATCTTTGCAAATGCCCCGAAACCATATCGAGAGGATGTAACATTCAAAAAGATAGCACCAGACAAGATCCCCGATATAACTAAATTCTCTCCAGAACGAAGTACAGTTGTTATTTTTGAAGATCTATGTGCGGAACCAAAGAAAGTGCAAGAACGAATTATTCCGTACTTCATTAGTGGCCGGCACCAAAATGTCTCACCTATATATGTGAGCCAGAAATATACACAAACACCTAAAATTATTCGTGAAAATATCTCACATTTATGCCTATTTCGGGGCTCGGGTAGTAGAGATGATATATGCAGAATTGTACGTCAATACACAGATGATCCAAAAAAAGCATCCAAGATAATTGATAAGCATTTACGGGATCGAAATTTTGTAGTTTTCGATTTTACTAAAGCAATAGACGATCCTTTGAGTGTAAGACTTGGTTGGGATACCCCCTTAGCATTAGATAAATAATGGAAAATCGATATATAAACTTTTTATTCGTCGATGCCATATTCACATAAAAAATAAACGATTAAGGTACGATGCATTTGGCTTTATTCCATGATTATTATTATTACTTTTTGCATTGCAACGTTTTTATTTTAATATGAAAATACGGTGACACATACAGTATATCAGACTATCACATTACTGCTTAACCAACGTGAGTTTTTATGTACCACTTAACTAAACTCTGACTATCGGTACACGTATTTTTTTAGGCGATGAATTTGAATTTCGAAAATATGAGTGACGGGGGGAGGATGATTCAGTTGTTAATTGAGATGAATTTATAATATTAATAGTAGATCTTGCCCTTTCCTACATAAATGAAAATAATGAGACCAAACTGCGAAGCAACTTGTTTGAAGATTATGAAGTAAGATTCTTACCAATAATGAATATAGGATAGATACTACAGTGATAATGTTTAAAAAATTCGCATTTTCCGTCGGGAACAATACTTTCGATAACAGATTACAACGGTATAGACCGTCATATACCAAATCGATACTAAAAATTTTAATTTCGCTCCCTATTGGTTTTAATTCTATTAGTTTGGCAATCAAACATCAGCAAAGTTTTAATAGAGATGACAACTTACCACAAATTGATATACCATAGGTTTCCAGGCCAGCCACATAGCCGTAAATATTAATAATAAAATCTAAAGACCCTTTCATGAATTCTGCTAATTTAATGATACTCTTATTTATGGTATTAGGGCAATGCGGTGGCTTTATCTCACCGAATATGAACTCTCTCTCAATATAATCAATCATTGAGAGGATCCGGAAGTCTGGTTTTCTGCCATGGTTATGACCATCCAATAAACGTCTCTCTTTGGAACTTTCGGATTCCCCATTAGCCCTTTATTTCAACAATGAAAATGTAAGCGTATATGTCTAGTATAATGTAATGATTATATGGGACTTACCAAACTAATGAGAGTTCGGTTTGATTGAATATTTCTTCCAGTATTTGATGACAGTATCGATGGATGAACGTATCTTCGTCCAATTTTTTATTCTCATTATAACTCATCGAAGACAAATAGGTAAAACTGCGAGGCAAAAAAAAAAAAGATTATTAATAATGCCATTAACAAACATTTTATAAAATCTAGAACTTACAAATTTCTCGAAACTATCTGCACACAGTCAAAGATGTCTTTGTCCCTTTTGCCCAATTGTTACGCCACTTTGTATTGAGTGATTGTTTGTCATTCAAAAGCTAGAACGCAAATAAACAAATTAATGTGTTTGCTAGTTGCTTATAATAATATCAAGGAAGATATTTACCCTGCTGTATTCGATTATTACTAAGTCAGCAACAGTCGGCAACTCCTTCGGAATTAATGATCTTGGACGAGCTCCATTCCATGTCTTTTCGGAACATTCAACATATTCTGGTTTAAGTTCATTGCAATACATAATCGATGATAGACACCTGAAGTATATACAAAGTTAAATATTATAGCCAAATTCTGTAACCTTGCATTGAAAATACTTACAATATCGTATCGATTTCTTTCGCATATGATAAAGTCGGATTAATTTCCAATTTTTTGATTGATTCTGCCTGAAACTTACGAAAGTCGATAGAGATGTTGTATCCATCCTGTGTTAACCACTATATAAAAGAGAACGGAATTAGAATATATCAGGATAAAAATACCACAAAACGATATTTCTCGATGCTTACGTCTTTTTCAGAGACATTATTTATAGCAACATTAACAATTGCGTAATTCCATGACAAGACGAACTTGAATAATATGGACCAAATTAATCAATGTCAAAGTTGTAGCAATTATTTTTGAAAGATTATGTTATTACCGATTAACACTGACCTTATCTTTCGTTGAATCTTCCCCCGTCTGTGCTATAAAAGGATTATTGTCGCCCTCACGTGCAATCCCTGCATCAGATTCATAGCGGTCATTCGACTTTAAAGAGCAATGCTGATTAGAAACGAATTTATACGCATAATACAACAAACGAAACGAAAAAAAACATTACTGGCGGTGCTTCAGTTGATCCATCTTCAACTTCGGCCGATTCTTCGTTGTGATCGTCAAAAGAGTTAACCCTGCTACTATAAAATGGAGGGGGAGTGGAATTGCGAAGGTCGGGAAGAGGTGTGATAACTTCCTCAGCTGAACCCGATGGTTCATTTGTACGATCTCGAAGATTAGGAGGAGAAGTGATGATGGGAGAAGCTTCCTCAGCTGGACGTTTTCTTATTAGATATTCTTCAAGTGTGGTTCGTACGACTTGATCTCGTAACATCGAATTTTTTAGAATTTCGTTATGCTGTTCTTCCTGTAATAAGAGCAAAGAAATAAATTCCGTTCTGCATGTCCTCATCATGAGAGCAAGGCTAAAGATAGCATACCATAAGGGCATTACGTTCAGTAATATGCTTTTGAATAATCTCGTCATACTGGTTTGATTTTTTTATACCACTAGTCCAGCACTAGCAAAAAAGGAGGGAAAAGATAGAATTAGTATAGCTCTCAAAAATTAATAAGACCCGGTTTGCCCTTCGGTTGAGGAGAGGTGTCGAACTTTCCGTTCATAACCGGTCGACTTTGCGTGTCCCAGCTAGCCACCGAAGACAATCAAGGTAGGAACGAACTTTGCGTTCATAACCGGTCAACTTTGCGTGTCCCAGCTTGACCATACCTTGACTATCAAGATAGGCACGAACTTTGCGTTCATAACCGGTCGACTTTGCGTGTTCCGGCTTGGCCATATCTCAATTGCCTCCTTTAGTCTCAAAAAACAATACTTTATCCCCCTCAATCTCAATATCAGTATTACAAGTCCACAAACATACTTTCCAGTTATCAATTATATACTGCGTCGTTTTTTCACGCGAGTTACCAGAATCATTTTGTGTAATCCGTTTGAGCTCAATGTTGATCTCGTAAAAAATTTTTTTAAGATTTTCATGTTGCGAAATATGCTTCTGGTAGTACTTGACAACGTTTTAACATGACCATTCAGAAGTATTTGTTTTGTCAAAGAAATGGTTAAGATTTGATGCCGGCATGTCTTTAGGGATGATTTTATTTTGAATGAACAACGTAATTATTCTCATTTTCCGATGCCACATGATTAGTATTTATGATAAAGTCACATGATCTGATCACGAAAATTTTAGAATCAAAGAGGGAGGCCATTTAATGCGAGTCCCAGTATCAAAGTTATTTCTTTGCTCTCTCTTTTAAGAAGTTTGACGCTTAATTTTTTTCATTGATAAACTTATATTTGAGAACATATACACATAAAACAATTAAAACACAACACGCTTAAAAAATCAAAATAAAGCTCTTTATTATATTTTTCGTAAAATAATATACAAGAGAGGGCCGGCCGGCTAAGTAAAAATGAATGTAAAAAATAATAGAGTAGCAAGATGTTTCAAAGGAGGAAAGGCATAAAAAATACGCCTGCTTGTTAAGCCTGCCGAGCCCTAACCCTTCTAGACCAGTCGAAGTAAAGATTTAAGTGGATGACTGGGATATCATACTAATAAAAAAAGCCATACAAACAGAAGAACACTGAGACAAACTTAAGAGCATCTTGAGATATAACAAAAGAAATATAGCTGATCAGCTCACATTCTATACAGACAGCTCTTATAAAAAAGGGATAACAAATTGTGAATTCAAAATGGGTTTAGCTTGGTTCATGATAGAGGAAGGCAAAATAGTTAAATAGTTTTCAGCAGGAGCTTTCATATGGCTATCAGCAACTAGGGCTGAAATACTAGCTATTCATACTATACTGTATATAGCCCCCAAAACACAACAGTAACAATTTACACTAATTGCAACACTGCAGTCAAAATATAGAAATCTATCTGCTCACAAATAGAGACATCTACAAAAAGATAGACAAAAATCACTAACTGGCTACTTTGGAATAGGATCAAGGACCTAGTAAAGAAGAAAAACCTAAATCTGGAAATCCTAAAGATCAAAGCCTACAAAACCAATAGATTCAACAATCAAGTAGACTTACTTGTCAAACAGGGCAGGCAAGAGAACTCAATAACTTGGTATTAGCTATTAGAGCTAGGAAAAGTCCTCACAATAATAGCATGGGGAGAATACACAATAGAAATTGGTATTAAAGATTTCATTAAAATATTCAATAAAAAAAGATTGGATTAGACTGGACAATATAAAAATGGATTCAAGATTCTTAGATCTAAAATAATAAAATTATAAACTGATCAACCTTCTGGAACCAGTTCAATCCAATCAATATTTTTGATATCTCTTTCAAAACCAATAAAAACAAAAGCTTCCTAACTAACTTAACTCATAATAAACTTCCAATCTTACAAATATTTAAGAAAAGAAAATCAGATGTGTATATCACAACCACTTGCCTAGCATGCAAACTTCAAGAAGAGACACTAGAATATCTTTTTGAATGTCTAATTACTAGGAAAACTCAGAAGAACTTATGGCAGAAGGCAAACAAAAGATCAAGAAACTCATCAGTAAAGAAATAAAAAATAAGAAAGAAGTTCAACTTAAAATAAGTAACCGGATAAATAAATAGTTAGAAAAGCTCCAGAAATTTGACAGGAACCTTTTCAATACCATCTATGAATATATAAAAGAAAGCAAAATTACTTTCTTGAAGAAGTATCTCAAAGAGCAGCTCAGGATTTTACTAGCAAACATATAAGATATAATTAATAAACTCTGTCAAAAGATAAGAGCAAACTTTAAAAAGGAGATCTGGAATACTTGCTATGTCAAAGTTATAGAATAAGAAAAAAAGAAAAACATTACAAAAGAGAACAAAAAAAACAAGAGCTCCAAGTCCAGATCTAATGAACAGATAGAACAAGACCAAAAAGAATTACCATTATCTCTAAAGGATTCAAATCTGGAGAACATTAAAGAAATAGAAGAAAAAAAGTATATAGTGATTATTAAGAATTGGGTTTGTCACAGAATTAAATAGTTTGGTTTTTAACTGTAGACAAAACTTAGAATGATCTATAGTAATGACCTGTAAGCAATGATTTTATTAATTAGAGGAATTATTCAAATTAGTAAAGGAGCAAAATATCATTTCCTAGATTGTATTTAGAGAAATAGTTTTTTTCAATAACAAGTGAGTCAGTATGTGAAAGTCACAACAATTTGTAAATACCTATCATATATACAATAAAGATACACAATACTAACCTGACTGCGGGTTAAAAAAAAAATAAATAATCCACATACAGTATATACCCTATTATGAATAAAGCAAAACAGATATATTAGATAATAAATAATATAGAAGATAATATTATTGACATACTAGTTCAATTAGCAAAAAAGTATAATGAAACAGGTAAACTATGGGCTATACAACAAATTGCCAAACAAAAAGGTATGACCAATCATAATGGCATAATAGCAGATGCTCCAGAAACATGTACTATACTAAACAGTATTATTGTCAAAATCCTAGAAATAAATAATACAATATTCCATAAGGAGTGAATCTTTATATAACATATTATTTTTCTTTGGCATGAAGGAAAGGAAAAGAAAGAGAATCTATTTCAACCCTATATAAAAGATAGATACCTGGACATAATCAAAGAAAAGTTGATAAAAATATCATCAATTCCAATGGAAATTATTATTGATGTAGAAAATGGATCTATATTAGATAATAAAATAATAATGGTAAAAGGTCAAGAACAGGAGAAAATAGAAGCAGAAACTTTCAAAGGCAAAAATCAAGGCTACAATATAAGCGAGTGCAACTCTTATGCTATAAGAAACAGGCAAACAACCCCAACACTAAACTCCTATTTAATAAATAAAAATGGCAAATACAAAGTAGGAGCAATGACAGCCAATATTTTAAGGAACAATGAAGAAGAAACTAAAACATACTTGGGTAGTATATTGACTTTATCATAAAACAAGTGCAGCCTTCTTCACAAAGAATTTATCAATGGAAATAAATGGTTGAGTTTCTATCTGAAGGAAGAAGAAGATCTTCTCAACTGTTTAGAAGAGATAAATAAAAAGGAAGAAACTTTCAATCTATAATAACTCAAAAACAAGGGCATTAATCTAATATAAAATATAGAGATATTAAATAAAAAGATCTTTCAATCAAAAAAAGAGAAAGAGGAAGAGAATATATAGCATGTTAGCCTAATAGATATAGTATACAAAACTTTATAACACCTTATAAAAGAATATCTCAAAAGATATAGTAAGATGCAAAATATACATATTTACAAGGTTAAACAAAAACAAAAGTTAAGGCTTATATCAAATGATATAGCTACTTCAAGACAAACCTAGAAACATTATGGATAACTCCCTTAAGAACAGAAACTACTAGAGCTATTTTCTCCAAAAAAAGAACTGATAGGCAGAGAATTTAATGATATTCTAATAGAATAAAACAAAAACTCTACAAGACTACTAGGTATAAATAAGTCCTATTCAAGTTTAATAGCCCGAGCACTCAATAGTATAGAAGCAAAAGCATGTTACACCCTAAGAAATCTCTTTACACTGAAGAAAAAAAACTCCATAGTTATATGCTTTACATCAAGAGAAACCTTTAACAAAGCCTGTAAACAATATATTTTCTTATAAGAGCTATACCTATTATGAAGTATAAAAGATACAGTAATAGAAAATAAAAAGATCTATGATACTGAAAGAAAAAGAGCCAAAGCCCAAGATATAAAAGTTGAAATAGACAATGAGATACTTATAGACTCATTATTTGACAATAAATCAATCAGTTTCTTCTTCTCTTATAGTAAGAATTATCGATCTCCAAGAAGAAAATACCCAAGAGATCCATCTCCAAGAGATCAAAAAAGATCCTATAAAGCTCAAACTGATAGAGGAGGATAAAGAAATAATAAAAGACCTAAGAATTCAGCCACAGGAAGTAATAAAGAACCTATTGGCAACCCAAGGCCTAGCTAGTATAGTAGTTTTGACAAGTACATATCAAATATAGAAATAGAAAATGAAGAAGATTCCCTATACCATATCTTAAACAACTTAGAAAAGTTAAGTGGCAGAATAATCAAACTAGAGAATAGAACAACTCCTAATAGACAAATAAGATATAATAAAAGAGGGGCAAATTGCTTCTAAAAAGATGCACCAGTTATCCAAGATAATAAAAGAAAAAACAAGTTCAGTTTATCCTTAATATAAATTTCAAAAGAAGGCAAACATCAACAAAAAGAGTATAATAGTATACAATTAGATAATTTGGGTCTAGGAAAATTTTTACAAAGTGAAAAAACCAACTTTTTGAACAAAAAAGGAAAAGAAAAAGAAAAGCAAAGTAATAACAGAGATAAGAAAAATAATATTGAAAAAAAGATAATAAAAATAGGCAAACACAATATAAGAGATATCACCAACATAACTAATTAACATAGTCTTATAGAAGACATAAGCGAGTAAGACATAAGAATAATAGAATTGTACAAGACCAAGCTAATATACAATAATGCAGAATGGGCTTTTAGTAACCAAAAAGAATATAAACACTTCTATAGTATCAACTAGTAATCACAATGGATCGAATCAGATCAGATTTTAACTAGATTTAATTTGATCTAGTTTTTATAAATATGAATCAGATTCAGATCTGATTTATTTTAAACTGATCTAATTTAATTCAAAACCATAACAGTTTGATCTGATCTAATTCGAATCTGAATTTGATTTGATTTGATTCAAT